TCCACTGTCTCCCTTCACCCACTTTTTTGTTGTCCATCCCCCAGGGAGGAGGCTATATGTAGATTCTTTTAATGATTTCCTTCTTAATGTAGAAAACCCCAAAAGGGATCTGTAAATACAGCCTCTTAGAAGAATGTCCCTTTTTCTTTCCAAAGCAGACCTTTCCATTTTGCTTCTGGTTATTCATAGGTTCCCGCCCCCCGCCCCCCTTCCCTGCTTCAGTGTAGTATTCTCCTCTTAGGTTCTATTGCTATGAAGCCCAGTGGCTTATAGTGTGCACAGAAGAAATGCAAACACACACACACACACACACACACACAATGCATGCCATGACGCCGAATGCAGGAAGATCACAGGCTTGTGGGTGGAAGGTCTTGTGGTCCCAGTGGCGGTGGAAGCATCTCAACTCTGGCCCTGGTCTCCATGTGTGTCCTCCAGCTCTCCAAGTGTCTCAACAGGAAAGGGAAGGCAGAGAGACTGGGTCTGGCCTCCAGTGAGCTGTTTGTCTCCATCTCGCCTCCAAATGATGTCATCAAGCTGCACTTGATTGACAGGCTAGCCTCCACCCCTTTGCTGAAGTTGACAGATTATGTGATTGCCACACTAGACTATTCAATATGTGTGGGAACACTTTTCTTTCTTTTGATCGTTACCATTTACCTCTCAGTTTTATTAAATTTAATAAAATTTACAACCTTGTTTTACAAAATGGCTGATGGTGACTCGGGCATGAGGGGGTGATTGTGAATTAGTGGAGTGCATCAAAAATGGCATTTGTTTTTTTAAATCATTTTATTGGGGGCTCGTACAACTCATCACGATCCATACATCCATCCATTGTGTCAAGCACATTTGTACATTTGTTGCCATCATCATTCCCAAAACATTTGCCTTCTATTTGAGCCCTTGGTATCAGTTCCTCATTCTTTTCCCTCCCTCCGGTTGCCCCCTCCCTCACGAACCCTTGATAATTTATAAATTATTGCTATTTTTTTCATGTCTTACACTGTCCGATGTCTCCCTCCACCCACTTTTCTTTTGTATAGCCGGCATTTTGTTTTGCAGAGCAAATAGTCATTTTCTCAGTTTCCAAAAGCCCAGCTCAAACTGTCACTGAGTCCCTCCCATGGACGTTGACTCAGCCACTGTCGTGAGGTGCCACGGAGCTAGCTCTGACCCAGCAACCGCCCGGACAGCAGAATGAAACACTGCCCGGCCCTGTGCCATCCTCGCACTTGTTCTTGTGTTTGAGCCCATTGTTGGAGCCACTGTGCCAATCCCTCTGTTTTGCTGTCCCGCTACCAAGCATGATGTCCTTCCCCAGGGACCGTGCTCTCCTGGTGCATGTCCACAGTCCATGAGATGCCATCCTCTCCTCTACGGCGCATTCTGTCTGCACTTCTTCCAAGACGGATGCGTTTGTCTTTCAGGAGTCGTCGGTGCTCCCAGGAGTCTTTGCCATCACCATCATTCAGACACATTGATCCTTCATTGGTCTTCCTTACTCAGTATCCAACTTTCACATGTAAATTACCTTATAAGACAGTCGAACTCAGAACTCCATAGGGTTTTCCAGACAGCCTCTTTGTTCTCCTATGAGACAGCTTGTGGGTTTGAACCCCCAACCTTGTGGTTAACAGCCTGATTCTTAACCCACCAGAGCCACCAGGCTCCTTTATGGGAGCCTATCAATTCAAAGTGAGGAGACTGGTTCTAGGGGGATGGGCCCTCTGGCAACTTGGGGGAAGGGTCGTGTTTCAATTTCTGTAACCCCAGTCCTTGGCCATCTAGCTTTCCCCGATTTGCCCTTGCTTGCTTCTGTCTGGTTTTAATCTGCATCTTTTATTTCACAGGTCATCACATGCAGAGATTGTTCAATTGGGTATATGACTGTATTTTTATTAAAAACAACTCAACAGATAAAAGGAATGTTAAAAAAGTCCTTAGGTTTAAGACGTCCCTTGCTTTGAGGGCCTCATAAGCATAAAGAAAGTTCTTTTCCTCATCAGCATAAAGCATGACAAAATAATAATTTATAGATTATCAAGGGTTCATGAGGGAGGAGGGGCGGGGAGGGAGGGGAAAAAATGAGCTGATACCAAGGATTCATGTAGAAAGAAAATGTTTTGAGAATGAGACGGCTACAAATGTGCTCGACACAATGGATTGTGATAAGAGTTGTATGAGCCCCCAGTAAATTGATTTAAAGAAAGAAGAAAGCTCTTCTCCTAAGTGAGATAACTTCTGACTCATGACGACCTTCTGTGCTAGAGGCATGTGATTGTGCTTTCGGTGACAGTGTGCACTTAGATAGCAAGTTTTCCCAAATGACGCTTCAGGCACAGATTGGCCACCCTTCCCAAGGTGCTAGGACCCCCCCCCCCCCTCCCAATCCCCTGTTGCCACTTCTGGTTTCCTTGGCCCCTGTTGCCTTCTCGTCTTTGGCTGATTGCATGTACTGCCGTTTGGGCCTCGTGAAATTGATGGTCGTGAAGACCACGTTCTTCAGGTTGCTTGCTTTACAGCCCCATCTAGTATTCGGTTGGAAGGTGGCTGCTGGGAGCGACTGCCTTCATTTTCTAGGTAAAGAGCTTTCTCGGGTCATCAGGCATGGGGTCTTCTAGTCTCAAGTACATGTGGTCTTTCTTTACTCCCCTCCCCCAAACTAGGACCTTCCATTGGGGCCTTGATCAGAGAAGTTGGTAATGTAGCAGGGGCCCCATCTGTTGTCTGGTGTCAGCCTAGAAGAGGTTGTGGTCCATGTGTAGCGCAGTCAATACAGTAGAATATAATCAGAGTGATCTTTTTGAAACCATTTTCAATTATATTTCTGTATAATGTTTAATGGGTGTAGAGGTAAAAATGTATTTCTTGTTTAAAAAAAAATTTAAACGTTTTGTTGACATAAGGGGTACCCCAAAAAGGGGGGAGCTCTGCTTGGTGGAGCTTTTGTAATACACATTTTTTTCCTGCTAAGCAAGCATGAAGCAACTAACCGAGTTAGTGCATCCAATGGCATCACCTGGGAAGGTTCTCTCTGATCACGGTGATTTTTTTTTTTTTGTAAAAGCAATTTCACACGAACCTTGGTTTTTTGTTTAGAGCATTTTATTGGGGGCTCGTACAATTCTTATCACAATCCATACATCCATCCATTGTGTCAAGCACATTTGCACATCTGTTGCCATTATTTTCAAAAAATTTTCTTAATAGTTGAGCCCGAACCTTGATTTTTTTGATGGCCAATTTAAGAACAGCAGTGTGCTGCTGTGGAATTTTGTTTCCTGCCCGAGAAAATTCCGCAGAAACTATTGTCCAGTTAGCAGCCAAGCACGTTGCCTTTGTGCACACCCAGAGGCTTCCTCAGTACCCACAATGCCCCTTAGTGGAATTCTTCCTTGTATCTAAGTAACATCCATTCGATGAAAGTCAAACAACTGAGTGCATCCAGCATCAGGGCACTGCTAAGCGAAGTATTGATTTGGTTGCTAGTCAGGAAATGTTTGTCACAGGGTTGTAGATTTTCCCCACACTTAAAAACAAAAAAAACCCAACCCTAATATTTCTGAATAGATTCAAGCTTTCCCCCCCAGAACTTGACTTCAACTAGGGGAGATTTATATGCCTAGTCGACACAGCTTAACTTTATGCTGACTGTTTCAGATGAACTCTGCTATAATCTGTTTCAGATTGAATTTAGTGGAAGCTTTTGTAGAAGACGCGGAGCTGAGGCAGAGTTTGCAAGAAGATTTACTTCGCCGCTTCCCAGATCTAAACCGACTTGCCAAGAAGTTCCAAAGACAAGCAGCAAACTTACAAAACTGTTACCAACTCTACCAGGGCATAAACCAGCTCCCTAATGTTATACAGGCTCTGGAAAAATACGAAGGTATTGAAAGGATGTTTGTTTTCTTTTGCGCTTACAGCGTACCGGGTGGCTTTAAAAGTTGATGCTGGGGACTCCTTTTATGTGCTAACGCCCGAAGCTTTTCTGATAACAGGTTTGTGTGGGCCTTTGGCTTCATGTAGAAGCCACGAGTCGTAGGACTGGATGCTCCCTTCTGGCCTGTTAGCAGAGATCGATGGAAGACAACTAGAAATTTTGCTTTTCAGAAATGAATGTTAGAAGTACCAGGTTTATCATGCGTAGACCCATTGGCAGCTAAACTATGGGCAGCTAAACAGGGTTCATTAGCAAAGGAAGGATTCTTAGGACCCAAAAGACGGTGTTAACAAATGTGTACCAGTGTATCACTAGAAAAGCAATCAGTCTAACATCAGCGTTAAAGGAAGGTCATGCATCACAGCCAGAGTTCGGAGTAAAGGGTCCAGGAGGAGGCCAGTTGCAGACACCCCTTTCTCACTTGTGTAAGGTTCAGGATGAGATGCATGTCCTCAGATGAGGAACTTCTGGTGTGGGCTTGGAACACCCCAGCACCAGGGAGTCCTGGCTCTTTTCCCCTCTTTTGTTATGTGGATATATTCCAGTCTGTAACTTGCTAGTGCAGCAGGGCCCTCCGGGGAGCTTCTTGAGACCAGGTGCAAAACGCCAACCCCAGGAAGCGATGCTGACCAGCTGCTGGCAATCACCGGAGGGTCCTGGGACCATGGAACAGCTCCATGAATCCGTGTGCGTCATCCCTTTACCAGGGTCATTGCCGTTCAGGAAATTTAACAAAATACCAGTTGTCGGCAAGTTGATTCCATCTTAGGCAACCCCACGCGTCGGCAAAAGATTTTCAGGGGCCGTTTTTTTGGGATACCAGAACTGGGGCGTTTCTGGGCAGACTTGAACGGCCATCCTTTGGGCCAGGAGCTGAGTGCATTAACCGTTTGTACTCCACAGGGATTCCTTTAACAAAACCATTCCCACCCCAACCCACTGCCATTGAATTCATTCTGACTCATAGGGACCCCCGAGATAGCCTGTCTGACATCGATCTTGTTGGGAGCTGGCAGCCTCCCCTTTCTCCTGTGCAGTGGCTGGTGGGTTTGAACCATCACCCTTGTTAGCCATCCATTGTTTATCCCCCAGAACACTGCAGACTGATTCTAGGCCTATTCCCCTTCATGCTCACGTGTGAGAGGAAGTGAAGACAAAGGGCCCTGGTGCTTAAAAGTGGGCTTACAGAATGACAGCAAAGCCACACGTAGTTGAGCAATGTCATTATCAGTTGGGTACAGGCTTGCTAAAGAATTCACTCACTGATTCAATCACCACGTATGGGAGCTGTCTTTGAGCCCGTTTCCCCTCGTAGATCGCTCCCTTCACCTGGTGTGCTGGCCGCTTGAGCAGCGTGTGGCAGAGGGTCTTTCATCAATCATTTTATTGGGGGCTCTTATAGCTCTTACTCGATACATCAATTGTATCAGGCATATTTGTACATGTTGCCATCATCATTTCCAAAACGTTTTGTACTTGAGCCCTTGGTATAAGCGCTTCCCCTCCACCCCCCACTCTTGTGAATCCTTGATCACTTATAATAGGATATTTATTAGAAAGTGTTCCCATCTTGAGAAAGTTACTGGCTGTGAGTTACGAACGCCCTTAATTTCCTGCACCTGTGCCTTGCCCCCCACCCTACCCTGTTATCCTCCCTACTTATCTCTTGGTAATCTCTCTACTGGCCCCTTTCCACCAAGTATTTTTAAGCGGATATGCTCTCTCTATATATATTTTTTTAAGCCGATTTTCCTCCTCATGTGTGCTCTCTTTAGTGATTGGTGGTTGTCCTTGAGGGGGCTCTGACTCCTGGGGGCCTGTGTCACCTTCTAGGAGGACCGCTTCTGTCTCCTTCTGGTCCAGTCTGATGTCTGGAAGCCTGCACTTCACCTTCCAGTCACTCCACTGGCTGTCAGCCCTGAGCACAATACAGAAAGGCCGTAGTGTTGCTAAATGCAGTGAACGTAGTCTAGTCCTTGTATTACTGGGCTTTCCTGCTGAATTAGAATAGTTTGGTCCTTCTGAAGTTCTGTGAGGTTCCAGTCGATACGAATTTGCTCCTTATATATACCGATTCCTCGCTTAGCGCATTGCTTGTTACCTGACATTTCGCATCTATAACTGCAGGAAACACTATTTTGTGAGTTAATGAGGGAAACCTGGCTACAGTAATGAACACCAGGGGGCAAGCATAGGCTGTGATGGTTCATTGGCCTGCTGACTTGGCGGGGCCATGGGTCTCAGCAGTTTGGCAGTGATGTAAGGCCAATGGTGGCACCTGGCACGTATCTAACAATGCAGCGATCCTCCAGGTCTGCGTAGCGACCTGGTCCTTGGCACGTGTGGCTCTGTGAAGGAGGAGCATTTGCTTTCTTTTTCCTGGGGAATCGATCTGTAATGCTCAACTTTCATCCGCTACTCAAAAGCCTGTGTGACTCCTCTCCCCCAAGAGGGAGTACAAGTAAGATGAAAAAGGAAAATACTACCTTACACCTTCCTTGGACCAACTTTCTACTGCCTGGGAGTCATGTACCAGTACTGGGTCCAGTGGACACACTGGACTGGGGGCATCCCTGTGTGTCAGGGTGGACCTGCACTCTGTCCGATTTCCAACAGCTGGGGTTTTCTGAGAGACCCTCACCAGCACTTTCCTCCAAGCTACCTCTTGGGGGTGGGGGTGGGGCTCGAGCTGCCAGCCTTCTGGTGAGCAGCTGAGCATGTGCCTGTGGACTGTTGGTACCATCCAGGCCCACGCGGGGTCAGGTGCTGTTGCGTTAACGTCCCATTCAGTGGCCCTACGAGCTAAAGCAGAACTACCCCGGGTGTTTTCTGGGCCAGTCTCTTCACAGTGCAGCCTTGGTGGCGCTTGGAGGCTAATGGAAGGGCCAGCGTGTGAGCCGGCAGCCATTCCCAGGGAGCAACGCCCTGGCAGTCTGCTCCGGCGAAGGTGGTGGCTGTGCCTCCAAGTGGACTCCGATTCGGAATGCGCCTGACAGCTAGGGGACGGAGTCGGGCTGCTCCACAGCGTTTCTAAGACTGCCATCTTTTTGTTTAAAGGAAATTTAAATTATTATTATTTTTGCCCCCACCCGCCCCAAATTACTTTTTACATTATTATTGTTTTTAATAATAGTTTGACATCTTACACATGCCAATATATCCATTCACATATGATTCTGTTGTTCAATCCAGCGGGTGGGGCTATACAGTCATCAATGCTCCCAGCTTCCCCCTGTCCACTGTACCCTTTGGGAACCACCACTCCTGTAACTGTCTCTGAGGGCCCATCCACCTTGACCTCCATGCACCGAGGGATCCTACATAAGGAACATAATAAAATCTAACGTGATCAATAAGGTGAAACAAAACCTTAAAGGGCAGGAACTATTAAAGACCTAGAGGGTAGTTCCGTGGTTTCTCATTGCCATCCTGCACCCTGGATTTTTCATCCCTCTGTGGGGCCCTTCTGAGAGGGGCTCTCCATGGCACCCACGCCCCTCACACCTCGTGATTGCACTGGCTGGTGTGCTTCTATGTGGGCTTTGTTGCTTCTCTCTAAACCAGTGATTCTCAACCTGTGGGTCGCAACCCCTTGGGGGGTGGTGTCGAACAACCCTTTCACAGGGGTCACCCGATTCATAACAATAGCAAAATGACAGTTAAGAATTAGCAACGAGAATAATTTTATGGTTGGGGGGTCACCACCACATGAGGAACTGCATTAAAGGGTGGAGGCATTAGGAAGGTTGAGAACCACTGCACTAGATGACCCCTTGCTTAATTACAAGCCTTTAAGACTGCAGACACTGTCTTTTAGTAGCCAAGCGTTGTCAGCTTTCTTCCCATTTGCTTCAGCACCCATTTTGTGTCCAGCGTCCTGTCAGGGAGATGAGGATCATACAATGCCACATTATCAGAAAGCTGTCCTTGTACTGAGACAAGATTAAGTATAGACCCAGTGTTCATTTGCTTCCTTGTTACACACACACACACACACACACACACACACACCCCACCCCACCCCCACCCCCCGCACGAATACGTGTGTGTATTTCTCCTCCCTGCCCCACTGTTATGTTTACCTATCATTCACCTTTCAGTAATTCCTCTCAGATTCAATTCACCTGTTCAAACACGGCAGGAAAGCTACACACTTGCCATCAACTTCAGAACACTTCCTGGTCTCTTGTACCTGTCATCATTGGCTCCCCGCTCCCCTCAAGACCCCCATCTCTACGAGAGCAAGTCTTCTCTCCCGTGGTGCAGCTGGTGGGTCCAACACGCCAACCTTGCACTTGGCAGCCAGATGCGTAAACATTGAACCACCAAGGTAGATCATGGAGGTAGGGGTTTGCCTGGGGGATAACCTGCCTCCCTTCCCAGCCTCCCCGTGTACCATGGTCCGGTGTGCTTGCTGCGTGCTCCCAGAGTTCTCCGAGACAGTAATGTCCTCACATTTTTGGCGTTATGTAGACCTGCGAGAGATCGTAAAGTTGTCCTGATCAGGTGTTTCCTGTTAGAGGTTTGGCATCAGCAGCCCAGTTAAGGTATTTGAAGTCTCTCAGCCTAGAAAGGAGTCAGGGGGGCCCTTCCCAGCGTGAAGGTGTTGAGAGCAGTATTTTTTCTGTACTTGGGAGGGTAGAGACTCTGGGTCAGGGGTAGAGAACCTTTTCTCTGCCAGCAGCCATTTGGAAATTTATAATCTCACTCAAGAGCCGTACTGGTCAATCATTTAATTAACTTACCCCTACATTAAGGTGACCAGACGTCCCACTTTTTGACGTTTTAAAAAAGTCCCTGTTAAAAAAAAAAAAAAAAAGTCCCGAATTTTGGAACAAATGCACGACATGCCAGGGAACCATCTATTTGGTCCATATAGACCAAAATTTTAATCAAGGCTGCCTGCGCCCCCCGCCAATGGTGTCCCGCTTTATATCTGGTCACCT